CATGCAAACAACGTTTTAAACATCAAAAGTGTCCCAGGGCTGGAGGGTGAGGAGTCACAGCCTCCAGGAGCTCAGGGACACAGCTCTGCTCCTGCCCTGTCCTCTGGCACAGGATCTCAAAGGATGCTCAGGGCGTCTGTGAAAGCCTCTCTGAGCCTGCCCGTGGCTGCAGGAGCAGTGGGGGCTGCTCTGTGCTCCTCAGAGCTGTGCACACCTTTAAATTTACATATAGATCAGATAGATTTACATCTATTATGATATTTTCATATATTCTGATATATATATCAGATATATTTACCTGTATTCTGATATTTTTCTTGTATTGTGATATTTTTAATGCATTCTGATATATATCAGATACATTTACATATATTCTGATATTTTTCATATATTCTGATATATACATCAGGTACATTTACATATATGCTGATATTTTTCATATATGCTAATATTTTTCATATATGCTAATATATACATCAGATAAATTTACATATATTCTGATATTTTTCCTATATTCTGATATTTATATCAGATATATTTACATATATTCTGATATTTTTCATATATCCTGATACATATCAGATATATTTATGTATATTCTGTTCTAGAGTTAAAGGAAGCCTCATGCTAACTGAGACTGACCCACCCCCAGTTCATCCCACCGAGCATCCCTCAGCCCCTCCCGACCCCAGGCCCATCCTCTCTGCTTTTCCCGGTCCATTCCCGTTTCCCTGCCCCGCTGGCTCCATCAGCAGCCCCAGCCCGAGCGTTCCCAGCCGGGCCATTGCCCTGCCCGGGCTATAATGGGCAATGCCGAGCCCCGGCCAGGGATGGAGCAATCGGGAGAGCAAAGAATAAAGGTTACAGGGATCCGGGGCCGGGCAGACAATGGAGCAGAGGCTGCGGCTGATCAGTGACCACCAGAGTTGCAAAATTGGGCCCTGGGGCCGGCAGGAGCAACCCCTGGTCCCCTGCCCTCTGCTGAGCTTGCAAAACCACCCCCGGATCTGTGCCTGTTTGGCAACTGAGCCACAGCAGGGCTTGTCACCAAAAAAGTGCCCTAGAGTCTATAAAAAGCAAGCCCGTTTAATTTATAGGATGGGAATAGGGAAATCGAGTTCACTTTTGCTTAAATTAGGGAAGTAGAGAAAGGGAGGGAAGAATTAGGAAATGCTGAACCCGTGGGGATTTCTCCCAAGTTGAGAGCTGGTATAATCAAACCTCCATCAGCAATTACAGCTGCAGAACAGAAATCAGGGGATTTGCTCTCAGAAACTCTGACTCTCTCATTTCAAAAAAGGAACAAAATGTCAGGAAGAGAAGAGCCCATTCCCAGAGCTGCAGAACCCAGCTCAGCACAATGTTAACAGCTCACATCCCCTTTAACCCTGCTGCTTGTAAGACAAGGGACGAGGGACACGAAAACCAAAGAGTTTTGGGATTTGTAGCCTGGAAGAGATGAGTGCAGCCCTGCTCCTGCCTCCCTCCCTCCCTGGCCCTGCAGCCTCATCTATAAGCAGAAATTTGGAAGGAAAAGCTAATTAAGCCACAGGAAGCAGTTGGGGTTTATTTGTGAGCACACACGGTGATCCCTGGGAGCAGCAGAAGGGCTCCAGAAAAAGGGAGGGGAGGAAATGCCTGACTGAGACTGTCAGCAGGAAAAGGACCTGAGGGAGGGGAGATGCTGCGGCCAGCCCAGCATGCAGGAGGATTGGATGCTCACACCCCTCTGGGACAGGAGCTGCCCCTCCTGAGCTCAGGGATGAGTGGAAATGTGTCCAGCCCAGCCAGGACACCACAAATCCACAGCCACAGCTTGGCCTGCAGTTAGCAGGGGATGGAAACCACAAGGCTGACTCACAGGAGCTGGGCTCCAGTGCAGAAAGCTCTGCCCCACTGGGGAGCGGCCACTCCTTTCCTCTGGAGCATCCCTTCCGAGCCTGCCTGTCCTGCACTGAACCCTCGGGGCTCCTCCCAAGGCATTTTCAGGGTTAACAGCAGCCACAGAAGGCTGCAGGAAGTGCTCACACCGGGGACACATCACTCTGCAGCTCCCAGATCTGTGCTCAGGCAGATTTATCCCAAAATTCTCCCTCTGGCTCAGCAGCAGGGTGGGAATCCACAGCTGGATGCAGCATCATCCCCCAGCAGCATCTCCTGCCCCCACACAACAAGGGACTGGAAACAACTTCAGCAGATTTTCCAAGCTGGAATGTTCCCATTTATGACACACAAAATACAGGTTCAGTTTATAACTGAAATGCCCAGGGACAGGAGTGTTGGGGATGGTTTGCCCGCAGTGCTTCATGCCAGAGCCTTGGTGCCCATGCCCTGTGGCTGCCCTGGTGCCAGCTCAGCCAGGGGGATGGCAGGGAAGGGCTCCAGGGACAAATCCCAGCATCACAGAAAGATTTGGGTTGGAAAGGACCTTAAAGCTCATCCCAGTCGGGACACATCAGAGTTCAGAGCCCCCTCCAGGCTGGAGCATCCCTAC